TGAGAGAAAAGGGCAGCTGACTGTATTTACCTTGAGTACAGAAATTCTTCTATACTGCCGTGTATATTACCATCATGGTAACACTTTTCCAATAGATTCAAACTGTGTAAAAACAGCTATGTGGCACCATTTATCAAGAAAATGAGGAGGCAAATTCCTATGAATTATTGACCAGTACCAATAGTATAAACGTTCAACAAGGAGTTTGGCTGACTTCTCTGACTGAAAAGCGAAAAAGACTTAAAATAGTTAAATTTGGTCTCTGATTGATCGATGTATTGATGAAGATTAAGCCACCCAGGAGGTGGCACGGGCATGAGTATCCCGTAAGTTGGTCTCTAAACATATACATGAATTAAGTAAAAAGAAATGTGCTGAAAAGCGTCTTAAAGAATGTGATTTCTTCATATCAAATACTTTCTGATGATGCAGAACTAATAACAGGGATAATAATAAAGTGGTCCAAAAATTAGTTACTATACATAAACCAGACAATGGCAAACTAATGAGAAGAGGAACTGACGTAAAAAGACCCGTACAAAGAGGCAGACTCCTTCATTATAAAAAGGAAAGAGACCTTTGAGTGTACAAATTCCAAAATATAAGAACTGAGGGAAGTCGGAGCGAATTCCATACTCAGTTTCTAGAGATTGGATAACCAGCAGCAGAAAAGTCGTGGCCCAAGGACTGATACTCGACCTAGTAAACACAATTAGGTAAACACACATATTGCTTAAAAATGACAGTGTTATCATAACACACTAAATTCACTGGACAATACATTCGAATGACAGAAATGTTTACCTACTTCTTCTCAACAACTTGTTGCAATCCGTATTCAGCAGACGGGACTATCTCCATGAGGCGAGACAGAGCCTGGAACACCTCGGAATCCGATTGTTTGAAGAACTGTCGAAATGACTCTCCAAAAGATGGCATCGTTACCCTGTGGAGGAGGGCACCAGTTGCAGGTCTCGATGGTGAAAGCTCATACAGAAACTAACTTTTAAGTACTATTCATGAATATATATTGTTCTGTCAACCCATGCTCATGAATGATAGTACTTATAGTACATAACTATCCTTTTGATAATTACTTACTTAGAGTACGTATTTCGCCGAAGGTATCAATAAGGAGTGATAGACCACCAGTAACCCATATTTTGCACTATTAATTAATTAATTTTATAGTCCGGAAAAAATAAAGCTGAAAACCACACTTAAATATTTCTAGGTTTAGTATAGCACATGTTTGTACTATACTAGGCCGTTGATAGTGTGTAATAGGCCTAGGATTGCTAGGACAGGTTAGGTCTTATATTTATATTTCGGTTAAACAAATTTCTGGCTTTTCCAAATCAATAATATAAAAGTCAACTTTCTGTTGGTCCATCATTACAGATTCGTGCTTTCGAGCAAATAATTACTATAAATACTTTCATTTTAGGAAGAATGGCTGTATTCCAAATACATGTATTTATTGATAAATTTAAATGTTTAAGACATTTCATTTAAGTTTAGAGAATGTTTAACTTGAATGAATTTCCTCAAAGCATTTATCATCTCGTTAATTAAGATGAACTATAGATTGTTCTTTAAAAATTCATTGTCTTTGTGTAACGTTTCAGTATACATTTGCACATAAACACTGAAGGATCTTTTAAAAGTTTGTTGTCCCATATGAACCCTGTATTAATCCATGTTCTCAAGAGGCAAACGCATGTCTTTTGCTTTTATCGATTCAAGCAATTAGGCGTTACGATAATTGAATGAAAGTTGAATGCAAATTTGCAATTCACAACGATTCCGGTATTTTGCTTGACTTTAATGATTTATTAAATGTGCATGACAAGGGCTTAAGGGGCCCGGTGCATGTGGACCGAAACTTCCTCATGCACACTAAATTTTGTGTGCATAATCTTCATGGTAAATACTCCAACTTTTCCTTATGGATCAACATTATACCATAAACAGAAAAAAAGTTAAATAGAAAACGAAACAAAAACAAATTCACAACTTCAAATGGCTATAAATATCTTATAATGGGAGCCGGTCGGCCGAGAGGACAGCACGCTGGACTTGTGATCCTGTGGTCCTGGGCTCGATCCCAGGCGCCGGCGAGAAACAATGGGCAGGGTTTCTTTCACCCTATGCCCCTGTTACCTTGCAGTAAAATAGGTCCCAGGGTGTTAGTCAGCTGTCACGGGATGCTTCTTGGGGGTGGAGGCCTGGTCGAGGACCGGGAAGGGGATACTAAAAGCCCCGAAATCATCTCAAGATAACTCAAGATAATGTCACCAATTGTTATTTTATTCATTATGGTCTTAGAATGGCATATAACGTTCAGTTGCTAGTGATATAATTATTGTTTTAGTGAATAGATTACTGTAAAACATTTTTTGAATGTGGCCATCCAAATATGTGCCAAATTTATACGCAAAATATCTATAACTCCAAACGTTATGGCTTTATGACCAATCGATTTACTAGGAACCTCAGCACTAAGAACTTTGCACATATGTTAAAATGGTGAGAATCGGTCAGAAACTGAATTTTTTATTAGGTGCCAAAGTTGAAAATGCTTTTCATAGAGAAAAATGCATTTAAAGTTCTCGACAATGAATATAATACTTGTAATTTATGAAATATCTTATAAGTTATAGGTAAGACTGCTTGGCATTCGTACTTCAATATGTGAAAGTTGTAGGTCAATATGAGTTGAAATGAAGTCAAGAAAAAAATAGCCCCCAAAAATAAATATAGGTTTCCGTTAAGAGATAACTGAAATACAGACACTGGGCCCCTTAACTGTCTAATAATAGGTTAGACATATATATGAATGAGATTTGGTGGATATAAATAGGAGCTGCTTCGTATGGGCCAATAGGCCTTCTGCAGCTACCTTCATTCTTATGTTTTTATTGTCGGAAAATCCGACACCATTAATAATAATATCATACAGACAGATAAGAGCTGTGTTACCAACAAGTTACCCATAGAAAACGTAACCTGTAGTGGAATTACCGTCTAAAGAAAACGGGATATCATCACCACATACCATTATAATTCACCAGCTATTTTGCTGGGAATTATTCTTAAATACATTAGTCTTTGGACTTTACCATCATAAAAACATCTTATATAAATTAACTTAATTATCAATATTAAAGTAGAGTAAATGTGACCCTTCTATCACTTTCTGAAATCTGGACAAAGTAGGCCAGGCGTCAGAGTGGGGAAGGAGGGCAGCCATTGTTGTTATACGAGACCAGAGGCTCACACGGGAGCAAATTCGGCTCCTGTTAATTTTACTTGGACGTAGTGTTTTGGAACCCAAAGGTACCATCTCCAACACGATGTCTACAATTCAAGTTAAGTCTATCCGAAACCCGTTTATCATTCATTTATGGCCATTAATGTCAGGATATAGGGTGACCCGGTTAGATCGCGAAATCGCCTCAAACTAAAGGTAATTAAGCCAGGTCTTCAATGTTCTGTATAGTGTTTTCTCTGATATAGCTTGTCATATATAGGATTCTGGCTTCACAGCTAGCGCACTTTTGACAGGTCAAGACGAGGAAGGAAGATTTGTGCACCAGTTACTGGGTGATATGGAAGCTACCTCAAAGAGGATAATTTGGTGTCTACACCCTAGTTATAGCTGGTGGACTAACCTGCTGTACTATAAGATAAGGAACCTCATCAATGTATGTAGCTATTACTGTAGTTTGATTGGCTGCATATATATAAATATAAACCCCCCTAATGTGTAGAGGATCGATTTGTGAGATTAAGAGATTATTGCAGAAATACAGTCCACTTATCATTATACAAATTGCTATCGAAGTATATAAATTAACGTAAATATAAATTCATATAAATTAAATAAATATAAATCTCACAGGTCGGTTCCCACATTTATGTTATTATAAGGAAAAACATATATTACAATAACTTTATTACCCATTTATTAGTGATAAGGCCCTCATTTATCAATACAAGCTAAATATACAAAGAGAATAGTGTTTGAACTCTGCAAATAAATCGGCCGACAAAAATAAAAGTCACAACTTCGGCCACCAGCGGCTGATTAACACGTTGATCAATTTCGTTCAAACTTCACAGGCTTAGTGCCGGATATGCGTTCTCCAAGATGTAGAAATCATAACAAAATCCGCATAAAAACAAAGGAGAGAAAAAAGTAAAAAAAAAAAAAAATAATAATAAAGTGGTTGTTAGCGTTTTGTACAAAGAGACTTAAGAAATATTGTCATTGGGCAATGTATTTATATGATATATGATAGAATACAGCATAATAACATACTAACTCATTATTATGTGTGAAATCTGGCCCCTCCAGGTGGCACCAGCTGCATATCCACTTTGTGGACCCTCCTTACTACTACTTGTCTTCTCTGTGCCTCGGTCAGGTGCTTGCATCTCCTTCTCCCTGATTTCCAGTAAATAGGAGGTCTTATCGTTATTATCATCACCGGTTGCTGCCCGTCGCTCACGCATTTATTTAAAAATAAAATCGTAAAAAATCCATTTCTTTGCATATTGGAATGAAATGCTCATGATGCTGATGCCAAATAAAGGGAGATTTTTTGAAAATTTTCATAATTTTTCATATTTGGAAAAGTCTCCATAGGCACCGGGTCTCTTAAGAAGCTCTAATTTTTATTTTGGAATCCTGCAAATATTAAACAAGCCTTGGGGGAGTAGGTGGGGTAGAAGCACACAACACAGGGAGGGTGGCGTGAATATGGCCTGATTAGGACTGGCAGATGTTACGGCATTATCCGTAACTCCATTGCCTCAAAATGATTTTCATTAATATATCACGCCATTGTGATTTCTACACACACACACACACATATATATATATATATATATATATATATATATATATATATATATATATATATATATATATCCGTTATTAATAACAACATAAATAAATATTACTTGTGAACAGCTTTGACCAGCTGCTGGAGGGTCTCAGGTCTGGGTGGGTACTTGGGCATGGTGAGGGCGGCGGTGAGGTTGCCCCTGTAGACGGTGCCCACCACGAAGGAAAACACCAGCCACGTCACCAGCAGCACCCGACTCGAACTACTCCCAGGAAGGTGCTTGTTGGTGCCCTGGCCGAGCAGTGCCCCAACAGCTATCTCGGCCGCGTCTGCCATAGATATTCCCCCGCTGTGCTCCTCTCCGTGTTTAGGTCGACCGATCTATAAGTGCGAACATATTGTGTGTTCTTAAAATATAGCACTGATTGTTAAATGCTAAATTGATAAAATTTATCAAAAAATCTATAAACTTGTTAAAACAAAGACAGACAGACACAGATGGTAGATAGATGGATTGGTATGAGAATGGCTACCTAGATGGATGGTAGATGGATTGATAGGTAGATGAACTAATAGATGAGTAGACGAACTGATAGATGAATATATAGATCGACGGAGAAATAGATGGAAAGATGATAAGCAGATGAATGGATATATATATATATATATATATATATATATATATATATATATATATATATATATATATATATATATATATATATATATATATATATATATAGTGTGTATATCACGAAAATAAACACGTGATTAAGAATGTGACAATGTCAGACCACGGAGGAAAAATGAAACAGGAAATTTCCTTAAGTACTTTCGTATATTAAATACATCTTCAGAAGGTCCTTCTTCATCATACTTCTAAATACATCTTCACCTTCTGAAGATGTATTTAATATACGAAAGTACTTAAGGAAATTTCCTGTTTCATTTTTCCTCCGTGGTCTGACATTGTCATATATATATATATATATATATATATATATATATATATATATATATATATATATATATATATATATTTTAAGCTAAATAGGAAAACCAGGGATATACTGAACATCTTGTTTCAGAATCTTTACTTTAAAATGCATAAAGTTTCGAATACTTCTCGTATTCATCATCAGATCTAAAAGAAAAAAACAGAAATCACAATCAAATAGCTGGTAAACAAAGAACTCATACTGAATATTATTGCCTATCAAAGAAAGGAAAATGCTTAAAAAACAAAAACACTTAAGCGCACTTAAAGTGATCAATTCAAATAAAACTTATTAACTGTCACATATATTATAACTTCAAGATGAAATTTATAACTACTAAAACAAACCATTCTATTTAACTTACGTGAAGTGATCAGAAGTGAAACTTGATACCTAACTCATAGATACTAAACACTATAACAAATATTTATATAATGACTACAAATCTGCAAAATATGTATGTAAAATACAAACCGAATAAACGACAATTATAAAGTACTAACCAAAATTTTATAAAAACTCAAATATTAAATAAAATTAAATTCTAAAAAATGGATTATATATCCTAAATAAAAGATTATATTAATATACAATGTCAAGACTTGAAATAAGTAAGAAAGGGCAAAGACATGGTAAACTAAACTAAAAATTAAACTACCAAAATGAACTAAAAATCAAATTACAGGGCCTACTGTGCACTATACAGTGTACAATTGAACAGCTGAAAGGTTGCTATTTAACAGAGGCCGCCGCTCCTTTATATATAAGGATTCCATTACTCTCAAATCTGACTGGCCATTCATACAAGTGTCCAGAATTTTAAAATCAGATTCCAGCAGAGAATGATCAAACTCATAACAATGGTTTCTAATCTCCGAAAATGCTGGTTTAGACAATGGTAATCCAGTCCTAAAAGATAATCCCCGGTGCTCAAGTATCCTAATCTTAAAGTTCCGAATGGAACTCCCGACATATCCAGCATTACAGCTGGAACAATTATACATATATACGACATTTGAGCACAAGGGGGTAGGCACTTTATCTTTAAATTTAAAATAAGAGCCTATGGTATTTGTGTTGACAAAAATAAATCTAAAGTCTACTTGAGGATAACACTGCTGCAACAGTCTCCTCAAACGACTCCTTACAGAAAAGCTAATACTGCCATAAAATGGTAATTTAATATATTTAAGATCCCTTTCCACTGTAGTAATCCTTCACGATGGGTGAAACTTCTTATTTAAGAAATTCCTTATAAAAGTATAAACCATATGACCAGGATAACCATTATTTGAAAAAAAATTCACAAGAAAATTAATTTCCTGATCAAAGTTATTCCAATTAGAACATAAAACAAAGGCCCTATTCAGTAGAGTGTTAATTGCATTTTTCTTAAAAATATCAGGAACAAAGGAATTAAAATTTAAACCTAAACCAGTAAAGGTTGGTTTCCTAAAAACATTAGTGTTGAACCCATTGAGGTTATTCACTTTTACATCAAGAAACGACAATGAATTATCAACTTCACACTCTGCAGTAAACCGTATATTACTATGTTGTGCATTAAGATACTCTAAATTTCTCAATATGACATTGGTCCCTAAACAACAAAAAAGTGTCATCTACATATCTCCTGTACAAGACTGGTTTAAGAAAAAAATAATAATAATAATAATTTGATTGTGATTTCTGTTTTTTCTTTTAGATCTGATGATGAATACGAGAAGTATTCGAAACGTTATGCATTTTAAAGTAAAGATTCTGAAACAAGATGTTCAGTATATCCCTGGTTTTCCTATTTATCTTAAAATTAAGATTCCCGAAGGGAACATCGATCATAAATATATATATATATATATATATATATATATATATATATATATATATATATATATATATATATATATATATAGACATAAAGATATGGATGGTTAGATGAGTAGATGGATGGATTGAAGAATAGATAGAAATAAATGGATTGGTAGAAAGATAGTTGGATAAATGGATGGAGAGATTAATCGGTAGAAAGATAGAAGGATTGATAGATAGTTAGATGGATGCATAGTTGGATAGGTAGATGGAGAAACAGATGGATAAATGAATGTGTACATGGATGGAGAGATGGACAGATAAATAGGTGAATGAATAGATAGATGGACAGGGGAGACAAAGAGACCCGGGGAACGCCGGGTATCCCCCAAAGTCTATTTGTCTATTTGTCGGTAAGCTGTTTTGGTGGTCCTAATGACCCTCCCGAAATAGACTGACCTTAAATCCCAGCAGCAAACCAAGCCAGACAAACAAGCCAGACAACCCAAGCCAGACAACCCAAGCCAGACAACCCAAGCCAGATAAACCAAGCCAGACAACCCAAGCCAGACAACCCAAGCCAGACAACCCAAGCCAGACAACCCAAGCCAGATAACCCAAACCAGACAACCCAAGCCAGACAACCCAAGCCAGATAACCCAAGCCAGACAACCCAATCCAGACAACCCAAGCCAGATAACCCAAGCCAAACAACCCAAGCTAGACAACCCAAGCCAGATAACCCAAGCCAGACAACCCAAGCCAGACAACCAACCCAAGCCAGACAACCCAAGCCAGATAACCCAAGCCAAACAACCCAAGCCAGACAACCCAAGCCAGACAACCCAAGCCAGACAACCCAAGCCAAACAAACCAAACAAGACAAACCAAGCCAGAACACGCAAGCCAGACAACCCAAGCCAGGAAACCCTAGCCAGACAACCCAAGCCAGATAACCCTAGTCAGACAACCCAAGCCAGACAACCCAAGCCAGATAACCCTAGTCAGACAACCCAAGCCAGACAAACAAGCCAGACAACCCAAGCCAGACAACCCAAGCCAGAACACGCAAGCCAGACAACCCAAGCCAGACAACCCAAGCCAGACAAACCAATCAAGACAACCCAAGCCAGACAACCCAAGTCAGACAACCCAAGCCAGACAACCCAAGCCAGACAAACAAGCCAAACAACCCAAGCCAGACAACCCAAGCCAGACAAACCAAGCAAGACAACCCAAGCCAGACAACCCAAGTCAGACAACCCAAGCCAGACAACCCAAGCCAGACAACCCAAGCCAGACAAACAAGCCAAACAACCCAAGCCAGACAAACCAAACAAGACAAACCAAGCAAGACAAACTAAGCCAGACAACCCAAGCCAGACAAACAAGCCAGACAACCCAAGCCAGACAAACAAGCCAAACAACCCAAGCCAGACAAACCAAACAAGACAAACCTAGCAAGACAAACTAAGCCTGACAACCCAAGCGAGACAAACAAGCCTGACAACCCAAGCCAGACAAACCAAACAAGACAAACCAAGCAAGACAAACTAAGCCAGACAACCCAAGCCAGACAAACAAGCCAGACAACCCAAGCCAAGCAAACCAAGCAGATGAACTAAGCCAGACAAAACAAACCAGCTAATAACCGCCACGTACCAAGAACATGAGGACGGGAACGAGAAGTAGGGAGGCGAGGACTGAGGCCCACACAGTGTCCGTCAGAGGAGCGTAGAGGCTCTGCCAGTTAGGCATGAGGGACGGTGTTGCCAGTGTGAACTCCACAGTGTCATGTTGATAGATGTATGTGTAATCGTAGAGCAGTTGGCGCTGTGGCATCTGTACGTGGTAGATGGTGGCCATGAAGGACGACCTCTCCGACACCAGGCCTGTCACCTGGATATAAGGTTTTCACAATAATATAATAAAATGTTTCCTTAAGAGAAAAGGATTAACGAATGTTTAAAATATTCAGTTTCACAAATTATTTAATTTAGAGGTTTAAAAAGGTTTTAGTACGGACATATTAGTATATTGCAATACGATTTGTAAAAGTAATTAACCGAAGGAAATGCTGGAGAAATTTATATATGACAATATACAAAATTAGTATTTCACATATTATTTCGAACTGTGTGCGTGTCAGGTTTGTAACGCAGGAGACAACACTATAATTACATAAAGGTGAACGGACCTGGTCCCAGGTGGTCACAGGAAGGACATTAAAGGTAAAGTTGAGGACTTCAGCTATGGTCATGAGCATCTGGGCGTCGCTGCCAGAGTACCTGGTCACACCCCCAGAGCCCTGGTCCTTCGCCTCGCTCCAGTATGGTCTGTATGACAGAGCTGTCACGTTGACTGTGGCTCCGTAAAAGCTGCAAGATCTTTAATTACCATTTTGTTTTAAATTCTGAAAGGACTCTTCTAAAATATATATTTCCCGTAATAGGAGTTTAAATTTACAGAAATGGCTTTGTTAAATTTTTTGACGTATGTAAGAACTGGACAGGTTTAAATATATTTCGTATTGAGTAATTTCTGATGGAAATCTCCATACTTGTTGAACTTGTCCGGGAAGAGAGGATAGGTAGGGAGCAGAAGGCCACGAGCTGCCGTCCAGCAAGCAGTCCTCACTATCCTGGCTCCAGAGGCGCTATACGGCAGGTTCACATACACGCTCACACTAACATCACATCGCCTGATTAAATATGGAAAGAAGACGACGAGTCACAATAACGGAGCTGAAGACATGGTGACCAAACCACACATCAAAAGATGGTGAAACGGCGATATTGTTTCGGTCCTATCTGACCCATTATCATACGACTTTGTAATGGTCCACGACAAACAGAAACGTCGTCGTTTCTCCATCTTCTGATGTGTGGTTTGGTCATCAACATGGCTAGAAACTTTGTTTTGTCAGTAAGTAGCTGTTTGTGTAGCTCCATTAACCTATCTATATAATACATAAACATTCCTCCGGGTCACAGAATGTAAATATCAACGAACAGAAATAATAATATTATTACAGTTATGTTTCTTTATATAATTAGAAATTAGCTGTTGTCTTTAATATAGTTCAGTTCTCAATGTAATTGTTAAAATATAATCTCTAACATAATCCCGATTTTAAATCTGTTATTTTGTAATATTTACAGAACAACTCTTGGAAATTGAAGCTAAAGAATGCCAGGTGCTCGGAGCAACAAACAGTTGAGTTTGCTCCTTTGACTATCTTTCCAGACAAGGTCACTTCAAGGAAAAAATGGCAAGTTAACAGTCCAACACTTAAGAGAAGGAAAATTTATATCAGTGAGTTCAGAATACGGATCCTTCGAGAGTTCTTTGGAAAAAATGTAATTTTCCAAATAGCTCGTGTTACAGAGATACAGTTCTGATGGTATGAAGTTTATTCCTGTTAAAGAAAAGTCAGTATTATTACCTTTGTTTATATTTTTTTACCTAGGGATCCGTGACCATTCATCCAAGACAAGCAGCATTGCATTCATCATGGAGAAGGTCCAGTGAGAGCTCACAAGGACCTGCAGGTGGTGGAGCGGGAGGCGGGTGACGACCAGGAGCCTCGTCGACCACACCAGGAGGCGGCCCTTGAGGGACCACTGGGCGAAGGTGGCGAGGAAGGCGAGGTCGTCGCTCACCACCACCACCGTCGCGCACCATGACACCTGCCGCACCTGTTGACGTCAACATGGTAGACGTTATGTGAGAGTGACCTACCCGCCTCTGTAGTGATGTGAGAGTGACCTACCCGCCTCAGTAGTGATGTGAGAGTGACCTACCCGCCTCAGTAGTGATGTGAGAGTGACCTACCCGCCTCAGTAGTGATGTGAGAGTGACCTACCCGCCTCAGTAGTGATGTGAGAGTGACCTACCCGCCTCAGTAGTGATGTGAGAGTGACCTGCCCGCCTCGGTAGTGATGTGAGAGTGACCTACCCGCCTCAGTAGTGATGTGAGAGTGACCTACCCGCCTCAGTAGTGATGTGAGAGTGACCTGCCCGCCTCAGTAGTGATTTAAGAGTGATCTACCCGCCTCAGTAGTGATGTGAGAGTGACCTACCCGCCTCAGTAGTGATGTGAGAGTGACCTACCCGCTTCAGGTAAAGTGTGTGTGATTACCTGCCTCAGCAGTAATGTGAGAGTGACCTACCTGCCTCAGTAGTGATGTGAGAGTGACCTACCCGCTTCAGGTAAAGTGTGTGTGATTACCTGCCTCAGCAGTAATGTGTGAGTGACCTACCTGCCTCAGCAGTAATGTGAGAGTGACCTACCTGCCTCAGCAGTAATGTGAGAGTGATCTACCCGCCTCAGTAGTGATGTGAGAGTGACCTACCCGCCGAGACATGCCAACCACCCGAGAAAGCTTCGTCAGCGTCAAGTTAGCGTCCTGACCGTCCTCTGACACCTCGAATACCGACACTCCCCACGGCGCCGCCAGCTGACTGAACTCCTAAAGATAAGGATAACATATTTCACATGTAGACAGTTTCTTAATAATTCATATATTGTGTGCATTAAATTTCCAGTAACCGAATTTAGCACTGATAGCTGAGCTAGTGAGCGGGACACTTGTTGAATGCAACGAGTCTCCACTAGAACATCTTATTCCGTTTATATACTACATTTGTCCAAATTCTTTATCTACCTCATGTGATATTATTTATTTGTTTTATTTGGGTATAAGTTTGATGCCTAAGATCACCTAAGGTGGTGCAATTATCAGAAAGTGATAAACATTATAAAGAGCTGTTACTCTGTAGAGCAACTGCAACGGATATGAGGATTGAGACATGAGGGCGTAGAGACGGTTCTGTGAACAAACCCCCTTTGACCATCTGGGATCGAACGCCGGCCCTGAAAAAACATGGTCATCATTCTTCCAAATACGGTTAGACTAAAGTATGTTATGATGCTGTAATTCACTGTTACATTATTCAGTCTCGTTAAGAGTTATTACCTAATTACAATTAGCACGAGGGACTGAAAAGGTAATATGGTTTGCACATTAATGTACACATTTCTGAATTCAGTTTAATATTAGGTTTTATCTAAAAAAAAATGATTATTTTTGGACATGAAAAATTGTACTTGATAGATTTCTGATGCCATTTTTGTCATTACCCCCCCCCATGTTATGTGACATTGAAGCCAATGAAAAGTGACGTAACATAGTAGATAACTTGCACATGATTGGCCAAAGGATCAGTACTATTGTCTGACGTCTCAGGGCGAGGATTCGCTTGATGACCTGTAAGGCAGCAGTATTGGAAAGCTCATTCTGTAGCAACATTTCTAGATCACAAGAAATTGGACAGCCAGGAGAGCGTGCTCTACTGTGTGGGGGGGGGAGAGGGGAGGGGGGAATGAGGAGGAAATTATCAAGGGAAAGGGCCAAGCCATTAAGACTATATAGCACTGGGAAGTTCTCAGGATAAGGATTTGGGATGGGACGGGGGGGGGGGGGAAGGAATGGTGTCCAACCACTTGGACGGTCGGGGATTGAACGACGACCTGCATGAAGCGAGACCGTCGCTCTACCGTCCAGTCCAAGGGGTTGGACTAGAGGGGGGAGGGGAAGTACCACCTTGTTTAACAGTGATGGCCAAGTAGGCCGTCTTAGAATCAGCAGGGAGTCAACACTGGCGACTGGAGAGCATCGTGAAGTTATCAGTAAAATTTCTTGAGTCCCTCAAACCAGAGTCAGATTTTGTGAGTACAATGATGCGTGATCGTCCACTCTTGTGTGGCCGAGGAAGCCATATTGCTTGTGCTCATCACCAGAGTTGAGAAGCTGTATCAAGACGACGATCATTGTCTTGACAGGAGATATATAGTTGGTGCAATTGTACGTATACTATTCATTACCATCTAAATTTTGTCTCAAATCAACAATCCTTGTATGCTTCAGCGGAAGAATACAGATACCACTGTCATATGAGGTGAGGCAGTGCATCCTGATTCTACATGGTCGGGGCTTGCCTCACACAAACTGGCAAAGGAAATGGTCTGGGGTACAGGATGATCATAGGCTAGTCAGGGTAGCCAGTATTCAAAAGGGAACAGCGTGCCAGTGCCTCATTCAAACGCTCACGACAATTTTATGAACTGCACCCCCCCCCCCGGCAACACAGCTAAATATTTTCAAAACAAACGTGTCAAATGTCTTATTCCTATAGTAATATACACCATTATTCACTGATTTCGGTAAAACTAGCAGAAAATTCCCTTTATTCATAATTTGCCCGTGCTCGCATAAAACAGACGATGCTCCCACAGCGTCAAAGGTTTCTCAAGCGACGGCACTTTACCAGAGTAAAGGAGTTACTACTCCTTTTTAAATATTACGCACCACTGAGCTACTCTCACTGCCGAGAACTCACATATTAAACATTTTTATTTTTTATAAGAGACAGTCAAAGACAGAGACGCAAGCAGAGGCAGAGACTGACAGAGATAGAGGCAGGAAGGATGAAGGTGAGACAGAGGCAAATAGATGGATAGGTGGAGTGATGAATTGATAGTTGGCTGGATAAATAGAAAGGCGGATAGATAAAGGGATGGAAAGAAGGATAGATGGATAGCGATGAGTAGGTGGCTGGATAGGCAGATGTAGTGATTACGGTAATCTTTACGTCAATGGGTGATCCGGGACGGCAGGGGTTCGAATCCTGGTTGGGTCAAAAAGACTTCTCAGTGATTTATGGCTCCCGCGTCCATACAGCCTTTGTGAAAAAGGCACACACACACACACACACACACACACACACACATTTTATATGTATATACATATATCAATATAAATAAAAATGTAAATGTTCGTTTTTCAAAATCACTAATCTCCAAAAGTTCTTCACCAATTGCTTTGAAAATTTGACACAAAGTTGTGTTTGAATACGCGCGTATTTTTATATACCTACTATATACATGCCACACCTGTGACAGGTAAAAACACGTTTTTTTAAAACAGGGCCATCTGTTGGACGTAAGAGCAACACACGCTATAATCTCCGAACGTTCTTCACCGATTGCTTTGAAATTTTGACACAACATTCCCTTTCAATGCGCACATGTTTTTATATACCTACTATATAGATGCTAAACATGTGACAGGTAAATATTTTCCATTTATTTAAACAGCACCATCTGTTGCACGTAAACGCAACACACGCTACACTAAATATGTCACGATTCAATTTCAATGTTTCTGATTGCATTGATAAATTGAATTTTCATAAATTTCGATTTATTTTCATTTTGATTTAAATATTTTGTGTGACATTACATTGAAATTGAGCTGTGTTGTTGACCATACTGTTCATTTTGTGAGTATAGTTTATTTTTAATTTTTTTATTACTTTTCATTTTGTTTTTTAACTGTTCTTCTTATTTTTCAGTAATGGGAACATCCGATCATTTGGGCACACATCAGATGAGGGAGTGGGGGAGGATGAGGGGACAGGGAGTGGGGTATGGAGGGGAGGACAAGGGGACTGGGGAATGGTGGGGAGGACGGGGGGGGGGGGGCAGGGGAGGGTTGTTGTGGCTAGGTACAGCTAGTATATATTATTATGATAATCTCCTTCAAGAGAGATTTGGCCTGCTCTTTTCTATCATCATGTTACTTCAGTACATCTACAACATCTAGATACTACAAGCAAGTGTAGTACATATTTAGTCAAATACGTTTTGCCAGACGCAAACATATCAGACACTCGCGCTCCACCTCCCCCCCCTCCATCGTCGCCGATCACCAAACTACCATTTCCAGCCAGCCCGCTTCTGATTGGTGAATCGACGTCTGCACCACTGCACCTCAGCGCTATCTACCTAGCCGATGTCTGGGCCTGCACCAGCCCCTGGAGTTAGAATATCCTGTGCTCTCAAGCTGAAACAACCATCTGATATACGCTCTGTCTATTAGTGGATGTTCTCAGCCAGCGCTTTATTCTCAGCACCTGTTAATTTCATTTTTGTCTTTATCCATTTTAGAGTAACGTCACCACTATTTTATGTTATGTTATTTTTTGACTTTATAATCTTGTTAGTTTGCACTGTACATAGCCAAGGAATTGTCGTATTCATAATTTGTTTTCAATTTAATTAAAGTTTCATTGTTCATACTATTTGTTTTGCTTGTTTTGCCTTACTTCGCCACAGGACACAACAGCTACGCAGTCATCTTTTTTTTTTAAATGTGATAGGCATTTGGAATATGAGAAGACTGAAAAGCAGGGCGCGGGAAAATGGGTAAAAATAAGAAGTAATGATCTTCATAAACATAACATATCCATGACCGTAACTAATACACTGTGAACTCTCTTAAACTATGCTCACCGTGAAATCTCGTCACTAAGCATAACTTGTCACTCTGCGAAACAAATTATTGACTATAGTGCGACAGTGAGAATAAAAATGACCACTTATGTTTTGGAGTGCAATTTTAGTCAAGAAATACTGTAAAGGATGATTATTGACTAAAGAGAATTTCGCGGACTGCTGGTGTTTGATGTGTTGAACTGCTTAAAGGACCCATATTTGCGAGAAAAAAATTCCTGTGAAACAATGCGTGTTATATGTTTTAACTATCCAGCTAATAGCGTATTGCCTGGCTAATAATGAAATGTCACATTTTATCTGACTCACTTAGCACAAGTGAAGAGAAAACATTGAAAAACTGCAAAGGTTAAAACTGTGAAATTATATCTGTTATGTTAAGTTTTGACTAGCTGATTAATAGCAAACTACTACATTATTGTCTTTTATGTTATGTTTACCTCGATAGCGTTGTAATGCTTGGAAATTGTATGTGTGGATCCCGTTTCCCTCTTACTGCACATAAATAATGGATGCTGTAAAGTATTTTTTATGGAACATGACTCTTCTTATTCTTACCCCTTTTTAAAACTAGATGCAATAACCAAGCTATGTTTGCCTTCTCTCTCTCTCAATATGGATGTGGGTTGGTGTGGGTTATTTGTGTGGACTCGGGAGATATGATCACCACATATAAGTTTCTCAAAGAAAATGATACGCTATGTAAGGACCTTTTATTTAACACACAAGACATCCGTGCAGTAGTGAGATTCCCTTTGATAGCTGTGCACGTGTCAATGAAAAATTAAAAGTGCAAAGATGTTTCGGGGTGCTATTTTAGTCAAGAAATGACACAAAATTGTGTTTATTGACTAGTGAGGGCCCGTAGCATGTATGGTGTGGGATATTGCGGTCCTTAACCTAGTCAAGCGATAGACAGTCATGTGGTAGTGGTCCTTGCGCCTATTTGATTTGATAGAAGAAAAAAATGAAGACTAGTAGTCCCTGTTTTTTAAGATGAAAAACTTTTAACTATAAAAATGTTTGACTGACTGACTGCTTCTCTGGCAACCCGTTCTTGCACTTTCTTACAGTCAATATTGACTTATTAAATACGTGCATATGTGACATACTAAA